GAATTTTTTAAATCTGACATCATATTCGTAATCAGCGACCCCAAAAACCCCTGAGTAAGAATTTTCAAGCTGATTTAGTTACTTCTGCTTGACTAATTATAACCTTTTGATATCAAAACTTTAAACGCTTTTTTCTCAAAACACTATATTTAAAAATGGTAACCAGTAGAACTCAAAAACCGTTTGTCCGATTTCAAAAATTCAAGTTGCATTCGATTCAGTGGAAGTTTTTGTAGGTCCTAAACCTCTAATATATTTAAAATATTCAATAATCAGGTTTTTGTGAGTGATTGATTGTCAAAAAAATGGTGTTTTTTCAGTTTTTTGGGTTCCAAAGCTTGCCATTTTTTTAATTTTTGATTTTTTTTAATATCTCGAGGTTTAGGACCTGTATTAGGTCTTAAACTTTAAAATCACGTTTGATTTTTTTATTTTAGATGATTCTGCGATGAGCTACAGTGGTTACCGTAAAGGACTTTGATTTTGACCAGTATACATAGCGACCTCTGTAGAAGGAGCATAATAATATTTTTTAAGATCGCAATTTTTTTTTAAATAGTTCTTGACGTATATAGTAACATGTAAAAACTTTTGATCAATTATATTTTAAAACTTATGAGTACACGATCTTTTAAAAACCTTCTATTTTAGGGCAAAAAAATTTAGGAAACCCCTTAATGGAAACGCATGAAACTGTATAATTTTAATATTTATTATATTTAAATCCGAAATTGGACATCAGTAGTGACATTTTCTGTTTATATAAATTTTTCTGTACGCGTTGTGATTTAAGGGGGGAACACCAGTTGTAACTTTCGAAAAATCGATTTTTTTTTTGGTGCATTTTCTTAAAGTATACATATTTAGAAATGTGTCTGTAAATTTCAAAGTTGATCCGGTGAAAAATAAATGAGATATACAGAACACTGCAGCGGCGCGTCCCGTGGCTTCATACAAGGTGGCCAGCCATACCTGACCCTAACGACAGATGGCCTTTTCCTATGATTTAGAAACGGCAACCACTGCGGAAGAGTTATTATATGGTCCAGGAATCGATGACTCTTTGTAACTTAGAAACAAAATTTCTTCTGAACAAAAAAAAGTAAGTTGAAACTTTTAATGCGTTTTTCTCAAAATGACATTTTCCAAGTCGGTGACCACGATTACTCGAATACCATTAAACCGATTTATTTAAAATTTAGTGTGCTTCATTTACACATATAAGTCTAGTTCGTGATCGAAGGATTTTTTTTTTTAATCAAAACTTTTTTTTATATAGCTGAAAATCGACCGTATTTTTTTAACGAAAATCATACTTTTGACTTTGACAGGTCGCCATTTTGTCAAATTTTTTTTTTTTTTTAAATCCTTCGATCACGAACTAGATAATCTTATAATAAATGTAAATCAATTTCATTTTTGTATTTCAGACGAAGTATACTTGCAGAATGCTGGTCACCGCAATTCGCCTTTTTTCTTAAGACGCCACTTCAATGGCTCATATCTCCAAAAGTTTTTGTTAAAAAAATTTTTTTTTTCTTTTAAATTACAGCTTTTTACATGTACTTTTAACTAATAAATAGTATTCTTTAAAAAGATTCATTGTTCTTTTGGAAAATATTCTTGAAAAAAGCATTATTTTTTGAGTTACAACTGGTGTTCCCCCCTTAAGAGTTATGAACGTCTCAAATGGACTGTTACGTTATACAATTTCAGAAGTAGGTTTTCAAGTTGTGCGACACTTTCGAAAAAATCTGCTCTTCTGGTTGACTGTATTTAACGGATAGTGCATAAATTTGTAGCTTTGGGATGGAAGAAATAAAGTAAATTCCAATTAGGCCAAAAAATTTTTTTTAAAAATTTTTTAGAAACAAAAATGTCCGGACTGTTACGTTACATGTACGATCTTCGTTTACGGAAAAAGCAAAATTGGTTATTAAAAATGTTTTTAATTGTTTAATTTCACATTAAATAACATTAATTCTATTTACTTATAATTAGATATTCAAAAATTTTTAATTTAACATGAAAATAACAAAATACAACAATATTTTTTTTTTATTAAACTCATTAAACTTCATGAAAACTTAATTATAAAGTGAAAAACAATAAAAATTATAAGTTGTATCCATGTTTTGAAATGTGAAAACTTGTGATCACTTCATTAATTACCTGAATTTGGTGAGTTGCCGTAATATCACAGACACTTTTTGCACTATTAAACATCGCAGGTGTGTTCAAAATGTTATTTATATCGGAAAAATCACATTCAGTAACTTCTTCGACGGTTATTTTTGATTTTGAACGATTAAATGCAGCTACAAAATCTGCAGCACATTTGACGATGCATTCACGAGACAAAATATGCTTCCTCACAATCATTTTGGTAGTTGCGCCAATGCTATCAATGCAACCTTTCCCGTGAGAAGTCGCAAAATAGTTCCAGAAGATTTTTATTCCGAATTCGCTTTCAAGTAAAGAAATGATTGCAGCAATAAATTTATTTTTAAATTGCGATGAAGGCCCGTCACTCCAAATTTTTAATATTTTTACAGAGCTGGGCAGTCCATTTAGTAATATGTACTGTTTGAGATTTGCCAAAAAGAATGAGAAGTGTTCAGGTGAAATTAAACAACGATTTTATTTAGATTATTTAAGATATGTACAAAGGCGATGCGCGCAAATTTGGTCACGGCTTGACCACGCCGTGGCGTCGAAAACAAAAGTTTGAATTTTTCTTTATAATAGTTTTAATTATAATGGACACAAAATAAAGGAAATTTAATGAGCACAAACGGTGTTCACTTTATTTGAAAATTTAGCATTGAGAAAAACCAACCAAAAAAAAAAAAATACGCTTTGCTTAATGCGAGAGCTTCCTTCCGTGGTGAATGCTAATGAGATACTACAAGTGATTGATGCGTGACAAAGTGTGAGTTGTCGCCTGAGTGAGATTTGAAGGTGTGTGTTGCGTCGTTCGCGTACAATGAGAGTGTCGTGCGTGTGTGAGTGTGAATTTTGGCGCTGAATAAAATAAAATTGAGAAAACCTAGTGTATGGTGTCGAGATTAAAGATTTATGGAATTTTCTCTAAGTTATATAATGTTCAATGATTAAAATCCTAAACATGTACATATAGAGAATAATGGTTTCTTTTGTGTGTGACAAGTTTTTAGACACAAAAACCTTCGATTGAATTTGTTTATTTTAATGAAGGGCAGTAGTAAACAAAGTTATCTGTTTTTGATTCCAATGCGCACTTTGCACTTCGTCCTGTGCCACGCAGACAAAATTTTCAGCAAAATTAATTTGCAGCACTGCCTCTTCATGAAACTGATTATTTCATACTCTTCGCAGATCGTATTTGTCAAAAATATCTCATTGCTCGCGCTTAAATAGCTATGCCGCAAAAATTGAGGCGATAACTGTGTTATGTGAAGAAGCAAGTCTTCCAGTGTACCAGATTCCTCGTACTTCTCAGTTCGTTTTGAAGTATCATCTTTTCGCCAAAACATCCATATCACTGGAGTATCTAATGGAATTCCATCAATAAATTGTCGCAGCCGTTCAACCAATATTCCATCACAGTTGTTGCATTTTGAAAACCAACAATCTGTCGTTCTCTTGGCATAAAAATTGATGAACAAGTCCATTTTCATATGAAGGCACAGACATGGTGACCTAGATTTAAAAAAAATCAAAATAACGCAATAATACTGTAGATTAAAGTTTAATTTTTGATAAAAAATATGCATCTATTTTTAAAAAATCTTAAAATTCATTGAATCCACTCGAAAATCATTATTCGGGGGTTTTCGTTGTGGCTAATGAATCTGAGGTCGATTTTTAAAAATTCAAATTGGCGGATCCAATATGGCAGACTTTTTTTTAAAAATCGTTTGAATTCTCTTGAAACTCACTACTCGGGGGTTTTTGCGGTCGCTGATTACAAATCTGACATCAATTTTAAAAAAATTTTAAAATTAAAAAAAATTTTTTGATCTAAAAACATTAAAAAAAAAATTTTTTTAAATAAAAAAGACTCTAATCTACGTTTACCTCCACGCGAAGGGAGTTGGACAACGTTTAATCAATTTGATGGCTAAAGAACGTAGTAAACAAATAGAATACAATACAAATTCCACAACATTTCACATCCGACATATTCGAACCGCCATTTTAAATTTAAAAAATCTGTTGTTCGATTCGTAATCAGCGACCCTAAAATCTCTCGAGGTGTGAGTTTTAAGAGAATTCAAAAGATTTTTTTAAAAAAATCCACCATATTGGATTCGCCATTTCGTATTTTTGAAAATTGACCTCAGATTCGTAATCAGCGACCCCGAAAACCCCCGAGTAACAATTTTCGAGTAGATTCAACGAGTTTAAAAATTTTTTAAAAATAGATGCATATTTGTTTTTAAAAATTAAACTTTAATCTACAGTATTTTTGCGCAATTTTGATTTTTTTAAATCTTGGTCACCATGTCAAAAGTCAGACATTTTTGATGCGTTATTTATACCTGGACAAGATATTTTAAAATGGTACATTGTTCAAAAATATTATAAAGTAAAAAAACCTTGAAAAGTCATGTGTTTTTATAAAATAATTGTCTGTAATTTGCTTATTTTTTAATTCACGGATTTTTCTGATGTAAAAAGAAAGAGCGGTTCCTATGCCATAAGAAGTATATGTTGCCAATTAAATTAATTAAATTGCCAGTTAAATTTTGTACATTTGGTCCTCAAAGGGTTAAAATAATCTGAGGTAATATTGTTATTATTTTTAACTCCCCCACCCTAACAAATACTTAAGTAATATTTGAACAGCTGCATTAGCAAGTTGTTGTGGAATCTCCTTGAAACAACATTATTTTACATGACTTACTACATTAAAATTATTTCTTAATGAAAATGAATTTTTTCAGGTTTAAAGTGTTTAGATTTACTTGGTTTGGCACACAATCACTTACGTGAAATACCAGGCATGGCATTTAGACATTTAACGCAATTAAATTCGTTAGAACTCGATGGAAATCAAATAGGACAAATTGATCCCAATGCGTTCATGGGACTGGAAGGTAAGAGTAAAAAAAATTAATTAAAATGTACTACTCCCATATTTAGTCAAAATTAGAAATAATTTATTTTATAACAAAAATTAAACATACATACCTAAATTCGGGTACATTGTTGTAGTCTTTATTCCTTTTGTCAAAATGAGTTGAGTTTCAAATCCTTCAAACGTAAAAAAGGCATTTTCCAGATTCTCGCAATGAGCGCTCAGTGAGCACAAAAAGGTTCTCCTCTGGCGGATTTGAACTTAGAAAACATTTTATAATTGTGTTAGCATGCACTTAATTTGCGACAGGTTTTAATCAATAAAACACAAAGAATACGTACGAAAACTATCGTTTATATATTTATCGATATCGAAAAAAAGATACACAATATCGATATCGATATTCGAAAAGATACACAGAGAGTATGAGGCAGTACGTACACATACTGCAAACACATGGACAAACTTCCGCTAGAGTCAAACGAGTAAAATTTACAGCGAATATTTAAATCTAACTATCCCTCCCGAAATTTTAATTATAATAGTTTTATAAAGAAAATTCTTAAAACTAATAATTCGAAAAATATAAAAAGATATAGTCAAACGTTATATTAAAATACAAAAACAAATAATTTTTAACTTCCGTAGGATCACAGTTCTCTTTGAATATTGATAGTCCTTAAATAGATCGTCATTGGCTTGGATCAAATAATGACACTGTCATTAACTTCAATGGTTTCCAGTCGTCGATTTTTGTTAAATACGGCAAATTTTTTAATCACTATCACTGTAAGCTAAATCAAAAACAATTTTATTATTAATAACCAGTCGTACATTACGTTACCTTTGAATATTAATGTTCAATATATATTATCGTTTGATGAGATAGTTTGTGTTAATGTTCCATCCCAGTAACAATTTTTCGCAATTTTCCTTTTTTTCTTTAAAAAAAAGACATTTCACATAATCCTATCACAATTCTACTATATTTCAAACTATATGTCTTATTTTAATGTCTTTATATATGTATATATTAATAGAATAGAGAGTGAAAACAAAATCGATGTCAAAAGAGACGTGACATTCGTTTTCACCATAAAATTGAGAGAATAAAGAGCTTAAAATGAGGTACATATAAGCGAATTTAAAACAAGTTCAAGCTTGTTTGTTTATACGCGTGAAGATTTAAATGTAACATGATCTTTGTTGTTTGAAAGCCTATTATGAGCATATAGGAGAACGAATTCTAAGAAGAAGATTCATTGTCATATGCGATGTAGATCATTACAATATAAGGAAAACGATCTTATTTTTAAATCACCCAGGGACCAGTATATAAACAAGAGCTTTTTCCATAAAGCTCGTCAAAGTTCCGGTGCAATCTATAACGTCGTAGAGCGACCCTTCAGTTTTCTTTCGCAATAATTATTGTATTCTTTCCTGATAGCCAATAGGTGCAAGTTAGTTTGACTTTTCACTTACAAGTAACACTACCCAATTGTTACTCAACGATTGAGATCGGACTATGGGCATTTTGCACAGAATCGAAAAACATTTGACACGTGTATTTTTATTTTGGCAGACATGATGCTTCAAGGGTTGAAAATGAGGATTGAAATATTTTGATTTTTTATTACCACATATACAATAAAAATCACTATTACACAACAACACCATGAAAAAATCCCGAGTTGGACCTTTATCCTAAACCTTTATCATAAAATTCTAACGACTTTAAAAAACTCGTGCGGCATATTGCATCCGACATTTTAAATTTTGAAAATTGGACTTTATATTCGTAATCAGCGACCCCAAAAACCCCTAGATAATAAATTTCATTAAAATCTAACAATTTTTAAAAATTCGTCCGCCATATTGGATCCGCCATTATGTTCTTTGAAAATTTTAATTTTACCATATTGGATTTAAAGTTTTTAACTTCAGATTCGTTATCAGGGACCAAAAAAACATCCAGATACTAATGTAAAACCATTAAACTTTAAAAACATTCCACTTACCCTTGAAATCCGACATGTTTTTTGAGGTTAGAAAAAACTGCTGACGTGATGGAACAAATCTGACTCCTGATTCGTGTTCAGCGTATCAAAATACATAGGATAAAGGTCCAACTCGGGATTTTTTCATGGTGTTGTTGTGTAATAGTGATTTTTATTGTATATGTGGTAATAAAAAATCCAAATATTTCAATCCTCATTTTCAACCCTTGAAGCATCATGTCTGCCAAAATAAAAATACACGTGTCAAATGTTTTTCGATTCTGTGCAAAATGCCCATAGTCCGATCTTAATCGTTGAGTAACAATTGGGTAGTGTTACTTGTTAGAACATAATTCTTTTCTGATACTCAATGGTTGCAAGAGAAGCAAATTAACACTTAGAATCAATAATTTAACAGAAATTAACTGTCGTATTTTACAACTATAAATACTAAAGAAATTTTGCATTATCTCTTTCCTAAATTTATCAATTTAGTACAAGTAACTTCTGTTACACCTGCAATAAAATTAATTTCTGTCATAGGTGCGAGTGATAAGAAATAACAATTAAGAATTTTGTAAATTCTTTAAATAGTTATAAAACAATAAATGTCGTTAAAGTTACATAAGTATAAACCCATACATTTGTAACACGGTCGTTTTTAACACATTCTTTAAAGTAGTCTTCATGAACATCTGTTATAAGTTAGTTAGTATTTTCAAAAATTGTCGCAGCGTTGTTGCAATTTCAAAATCGCAGGCAGAAAACTTTCCTCGAAAATTCTCATTAGAGATTTATTTGTTGCAATTAATTCCTGAAAAGCTTGGCTCCTAGCAACAAATTTGGCTTCACAAGCTGACAGAGCAACATAAGTTTGTTTATTTGCTCGCCAAGCAATCGTGTCCCCAAACAGTCGTATTAGAAAACCAGATATCGAAATAGAATCTTTACAGTCCACAAATCTCGTATCTGAATTTACTAACAATTAATTTTGTCTGCCTACAAAAAGACCTGAATATTTCATTCCCTTTAAGTATTGGAAAACTCTTTTAACCATTTTCCATTCGTTTTCGGTCGGATTAATTTGATGTCTACTCAGAACATTTACCGCATAAGTCATAAATGGACGTTTAGCACCAGATAGATATCACAGACTACCAATCGTTTTACGGTACGGAATGTCAAGAAATTTTTTCGAAAGTTTTGTAATATAGTCAGGTCTCACAAAGTGTCCGAGCTCGGGACCAGGCGTCTTAGTAAGTGTCTTTCCCGCTAAACCACACCCTAGTGGTAGGGTGGTGGAAAATTCAGGGTAGTATACTAAATATGCACTTCCAATAAAGAATTATTTTCCTTACATGTTTTCTTTATAATTTTTAGGAAACATCATGTTACACAAATTAATAATTAGCATAAAATTATTGTTTATTAGTGTTATTAAAACCAATAGTAATTTTATGATAATACTAATAACAAAAATTTTTTTGTCCATTTTAGTATAATCTTTTTATACAACAAAATTAAACAAAACATCGATTATAAAATATTCACCATTGCATTTTTTATTCTCAATAAAAATAATGTAATTTATTAACCCCTTCACAGTCGAGACCCAAATCTCATAAGTGGGCTCAAAATGTCACCAACATTTTTAAAAACTAAAATTTGCGCAATCAAGTATACTATTGTATTTGAGGTCGCTGATTACGAATCTTCCATCAGATTTTGAAAATTCAAAATGGCGGATCCAATATAGCGGACAACTTTTTCAAAATTTAATCGGTTTCGTTTGAAACTTGATACTCGGGGGTTTTTGAGGTCGCTGATTACGAATCCGATGTCAGTTTTTCAAAATTCAAAATGGCGGATCCAATATGGCGGACAACTTTTTCAAAATTTGATCAGTTTCGCTTGAAACTTGATACTCGGGGGTTTTTGGCGTCGCTGATTACGAATCCGATGTCAGTTTTTCAAAATTTAAAATGGCGGATCCAATATGGCAGATGACTCAGAAACAAAGCAATGACGAAAACAATTGACAGTCAATCCCCTTCAACGAAAAAGACAGTGACAGTACTGTACAGACTATGACAAACGTGAATCAAGACAGTAAAAAACAATCCTCCATTTTGAATTTTCAAAATTTTGGAAAACTGGCATCGGATTTGTAATCCGCGACACCGAAAACCCCCGAGTAATAAGTTTCAAGCGAATCCGATGAATTTTTTAAAAAGTCGTCCGCCATATTGGATGTGAAATTTTGAATTTTGAAAAACTGACATCGGATTCGAAATCAGCGTCCCCGAAAACCCCCGAGTAACAAGTTTCAAGCGAATCGCATTAAATTTTGAAAAAGTCGTCCACCATATTGGATCCGCCATTTTGAATTTTAAAAAACTGACATCGGATTCGTAATCAGAAACCCCGAAAACCCCCGAGTAACAATTTTGGGACAAATATGTCTGTTTATATAGCCACAAATCTGCTTGCGTTTATACACGTCATCGACAGTTTGAGCCCACTTATGCCATGACGTGTATACACGTCATCGACTGTGAAGGGGTTAAGAAGTTTTATTGAATATAATGTAAGTGGCCTGGAGCCTTTCTATATTTTGTGAGCCGGCTCTAGCGGAACAAGTTTTCAACTATGGAGAGGGTAAATGTAAGGTGGGGGTCGAGACACTTTGAGTATTTAGAAAAAGATAGAATTTGGTTCGTTTGTGAGACTAGACAGTTTGGGAGTCGGACTCTTTGTGTCGTCATTGGTGTATTTTTGTGAAATTCATTCTCAAAACCAAATCTCGTTAATATTTTCTCAATTTAATTTTTCTGAATAACGGTTATTGTTTTCATGTTTCTTTGTCTTCGAATGTCCATACCTAAATAGTGTTTAGGTTCGCCTAAGTCAGTCATTTCGAAAGAAGTCATTAGCTTATTTTTGATTTCTAACATTTTCTTACTGTCGGTACTGGCTAACAAAATATCGTCAACATTAATCAATAACTATATAACTATATAAC